TTCCCCTCCATAAAAATTCCAGAATCAAAACTTGCTGCACATAGAAAACAAGCACGGTAGGAGAAAATGTTTAGCTTTCTTCTGATGTGCAAGTTTTCCATTTTCAGGAAAGGAAGGGGATTGGGTTTGGGGGAAGCAGAGGGGTCGTCCTGTGCTATAAATTCCATCTGTAGTCTGAAATAATACAGTCCAAACCAGGCTTACCATCATCCAACTCAACACTTGTGCAAGTGCAAAAGTACTTATAAGACCAAGTGTTTATAAGCTGTCCTCCCCCAGTCTCCCTCTTCCCACTTCTCCACCACCACCTGGGCAGCTCATTTTGCAGCTGCTCTTTGATCTATTGTAGACGTTCCTCAAAGAATCGTCGCAAAGCAGAACGCAAGAAACACAGCCTGAAGGAAGGAAATCCCTTAGAAGATGTCGCTCTTCTGGAGGTTTTAGGGGAAATAGTTCGAAGTACTGACAACTTGAAAGGTTAGTTCCAAAAGTTGGTTCTCCAAATTTTGGACGTGGCTCAAAGGAGGAGCCCCAAAGGTGATCATGAAGAGACCTGATGGAGATGTCCAGAAGCAGGGCCTAATGACCATGTCTAGAGAGATTCCGAATGCTGATGTTCAGTGGTCTTCGGTTAGCATGGAGTTGCACGAAAGGCTGCCTTCCTTACTAGATGGGCCTAACTGCCAAATCCACATACCCAAAACCAAGTGTGTAGGTGGGCAATGCTAATGCTAATTTTCTGTTCCCTATTAGTCTTTTGATTTGAAAGTACTCTTAAGAAATCAGATTAATCTTAAAAACTGGATGCCAATGAGCTGTTTTAGGAAAACAGTGCTGAGGAGATAAAATGTAATGATAATTCTCACTCTCTTGTCTTTTACCCCCTTTCGTTTTCTTTTACTTTGTCTTTGTTCCTAAACACAATCAAGCCTGTAGTCCAGCGTTTCTCAACCTTGGCAACTTTAAGATGTATGGACTTCAATTGCTGGCTGGGGAATTCTGGGAGTTGAAGTCCACACATCTTAAAGTTGCCAAGGTTGAGAAACCCTGCTGTAGTCACTATTTTGATGGTGGAATAGCATAAGAGTAAGCTGTGTGTGCGTTTGTGTGCCTTTGAGTCAATGTTGACTCCTGACGACTGCCTGAACAAGTCCCTGCAGTTTCTCTTGGCAAGATTTTGGAATTGATACTGTAAAATAATAGCAACTAATTATAAGCAACTTTTTAAAAAAGATACTAAATATAATTCGCTTTCCATGGATCTCTAGAACCCTGGAACCATTGGATAGAATGCTGGAACTTTCTAACTTACAAGCCCACTCAGCCAAGATTGTTATTTTTAGGATATAGGACATTTCTGAATGCCTTTTTAGACTGTCCCTGGGGAAACCAAGCCCTGCGGTGTCCTCCAGGGCTGTTGTTCTGAAACCAGTGATTATGCCATGCTAGATACAGCTTATGCCTGTATCCCCAGAGGGGAGGATCTCATTATTTTCAGGCTAGGATCAGAGGGCAAGCAAAGAACAGGTTTATCTTATATGCCTACCTTGTTTTTTAAAAAATGCATTTTAAACTTATTGGGGTGGGATCTTTTTTCCCCAAGGTGAGTTGCACAGCCTTTTAAATTACCTAGTCCTGTTTAGCTATGATGGACAAGCCCAGGAGTTGCAACAAGCTTTCGAGGATATGCTTCACTTGATGGAGAGCTCCCTGCTTGAAATCTGGAGCCCAGACCTGCGGCACATCCCAGCCAGCCCGGTAAGACATTAATTCCAGCCTGTGCCCCCTTGGCACTCTTACTGGCATACTGTGTTACACTGTTTGATTTTGAAAAAGCATTCTTAATGAAGTAACTTTATTTGAAGAAAAATCAGTTGCAACAGAGGAATCCACAAGACGGTCTATCCATTGGGTGGGGGGGGGAGGCAAATGACAAAAGCAACATCAAACTGTCTCTTTTACTCTTTATGTGCACCGTGATGTTGCATGCATGTACGAAATAGGAAGAGCTTATGGGGCAACTGCATGACACTGCTTTCATCATTTTGACAAAAGGGCTGGATCCTGCAGACATTGCTGAGTTGTGGGACTCCAATCCAGAATGTGCTAGCTCCAGATTAGAACCCCATATCACTCTTCTGCTGAAAATTCTGCCCATTAGTTTGGGGAAAACAATAGCTGGATGGGGATTATCAGTAGGAAACTGCCAGAGAACCCTATTCTGAATTGGGTTCTGGATTGAGGCCGCATGAGTTTTTAAACTGAAGTGTTCACATGTTCAAAAAATGCTTTTTCAAAAATCAGAATGATGCAAGGTGTACTTTGGTCTGGAGAAGAGGCTAGATATGGTACCAATTTGGGTTATTTTTACTGCACTTTATTTTTTTTTAAAATCACAGCTGTACCCGATAATGGGTATCAGTGTGGGAGTTAATTTATTGAAGATAAGATGCTCCTATCAGTACCATACTATATAGCCTAGTGCATAGCAATTTTATTTACCTGATTTCTTTAAAGAGAATGCCATTTCACTGGTTTGTGTCAAGAAATCTGTTGCTTCCAGGAAGATGATGTATAAATGAGTACAGGTAGTCCTCGTCATTTATTCAGTGACCAAAGTTATGACGGCACCGAAAGAAAGGTGGTTACGACCAAAACTCAGAGTTCCGGCCATCCCAGCACTCCCGCAGTGATGTGATCACAATCTGGGTACTTGACAACCAATTCGCATTTATGATTGGCCACAGCGCCCCACAATCACATCATCACCATTCGCAACCTTCCCTACTGGCTTCCCCAGAAAGTCAGTGGGGAAGCTGGCAGGGAAGGTCATACATCATGGGGGCAAGTCTTCCCCACCTGTGCACCCTCCCCCAGCCCCTCTGCACTTGCGGCATGCTGGCCACTCATGCACTCCCAATGCACCCTTCCCAACCTTTACCACACCTCCCTCGCGCTCCTGTGCACTCTCCCCGACCCGTGCTGCACCCTCACGTACCCCCCGACCCTCCCTTGGACCCTCACACCCTTGCACACCTTCCCTGACCCATGCCACACCCTCCCTGACTCTCCCCCACACCCCCATGCACCCCCTTGCTCCCTCCCACACCCGGTAGCAACCACTTATCTGCCTGCCAGCCTGGGACTTGCAGCTTCCTGCCGGCTTCCCCACTGACTTTAGCTGTAAGAAGCTGGCAGGAAGTTGCCTCGCCTAACAACCATGGGATTCGGTTAACGATGGCAACTAGGACTGCAGGGATTGCTGTCACTAAGTGATGCAGTTGCACTTTACGACTGCATCACTTAGCCACAGAAATTCTGGTCCCAATTGCCATTGTAAGTCAAGCCCTACATGTAAGCTCAAAGCAGGTGCAAGAGGTGAGTTGAGAAACAAAATCTCTTCTGTTATATCTCTTCTGTTCATTGCATAGGGAAAATAATGGTTTTCTATTAAAGCTGTTACGAAAAAGTCTGGCCCAGATTTTTATTTTTATTTCTGCTGAACTGCTATAATGTCATTATTCTACGTAAATGAACATCTCCTTTTGCCAATCCCTTGCAATTTTAGATCCTGGGTCCCAATTCAACTGCTAATAGCATAACTGCTGCCTACACTCAACAGAAAGTGATGGCTCCCACAGTACAAGGTAAGACATGTACTATGTAGCATACATTATTTATTTATCGTATGGCACATTCACATCGCAATTCAGTAGAATAAAAACACAAGAGATAAAAATACAAAATATGAAATATAAAATATAAAATTTTATATATTTTTAAGTAGTGTACAAATTAAATACGATTTGAATGTGTGTGTATGCATAAAAAATTTAAAAATTTGGGGATGCTGGAACTTAAGCTTGTCTTGAAACCCATCCCTCTAATCCATTTGTGAGCAACTTGTAGGCTGCACGGGACCTGTTGCAGTCCCAGTAGTGACAAAATTATAGTGTGAAAAAAAAGGTTTGATTTTGCCCACTTACAACGTAAAATGAAACAAATAGGTTTGTTAGCAAACCAAATTTGTTTATTTCAGTGATTTATTGAGCTGCCTATCTCACAACAGTGACTCTGGGCAGCATACAAATGCACTATTATCATCAGCTCTTCAAACACTGCTCACCTGTGGGCTGATAATTCTGGCCTCCTGTAATTCTGAGCTGCCAAAAAAATAAAGCTTGACCCCCAGTTGCAAGAAAGGTTACTTTATGCAGTATGGAGGGAGACTGTATGTTGAGCAAAACCCTTTCTTACGTATGCTCCTGGACTAGGCCCTAGCATTCAAGTTTTGAAACCAATCCCTAGAAGCTTTTCTGATTGTATTTGATGCGGTTACCATGAAGCTTACCATTTAGGAAAGCTCAGAAATCTAACCTTGCCGTATTAGGCCGAAAAGGAATGAAAAATAAAGTTTTAGTTTATTCTTCATTGATTTCAAGTAGCAGACAAAGCATAGGACTATCTTCACAGTGGTACATTTCTTTCTATCTCATTTGTGAGATTTTGTTAGTTTTTTTTCTGTTTCAGAATGTTTACATAAAGTGTACTATAATGTCTGTTACTTTTGCTTGTTTGCTTGCTTGCTCTTATTTGAAGAATTATCTCTTGCTTTTTCTTCTTCCCAGATCCGGAGATCTTTATTGCTCCCAAACTCAACAAAAACACTCAGTGGAAGTTGAATCTTCTCCAGTAATCTCAGTTCCACAGCTACTGATGGGATAAAGATCTATACAGGTAGTCCTTGCTTACCAACAGAAATTGGGACCAGGAACTCCATTGCTAAGCGATACACTTGTAAGGCATGATGTCATGTGATCGCACAACAGCAGTTCCAGCAATCCCAGTTGCCATCATTAGGCAAATCCTGCACAGTCATGTCCCGTGGTCATGTGATTGCCATTTGTGACCTCCTGCTGGCTTCCACGTTGACTTGTTGGAAGCTGGCAGTGAAGATCACAAATGGCAATCACTTGACCATGGGATGCTGTGACATTATAATTGCAAGCCTGTTGCCAAGTGCCTGAATCGTGATCATGTGACCGCGGGAATGCTGCCATGGCCATAACCCGAGGACTTGTCGTTAGTCCCTCTTGTTCAGCGCTGTTTTAACTTTGAATGGTCACTGAACAAGGGGACATTGAGCGAGGGCTACCTGTATTTAAGTACTTTTCTCATCACGTATCCTGAAATGAAGAAGGATGAACTGGCTCACAAAGCAGTGTAAATCTACTTTGCCCTATACCTGTCTGATCATGGGCTTCCTTCCACTTCCCCCCCCAGCATAGCCTGAATAACCAGATAGCAACCACTCGGCTTCTGCTATTGTAAATTATTTTTAATATGTTGCTTTGAACTCTCCAGACTCTATTTTGCAGTTTGATAGCTAAAGTGATCTTTGGAGATTTTAAAACAGGGGTATTAGTGGTACTTTAATTTTCTAGACTTTTTGCTTTAAAGATACACAACTCAGTACAACTGAGCAAGATTTACACTGAATTTAATATACGCTGCTTTGACAAAATGAGTATTGATGGAATGTTCTTTTTCTGACAGGAAGGAGGAGGAAGGGTTAATAAAGTTTTGTTGTACAGTAACCTTTTTCTTGGAATCTCTCACCTTTGATTTTCTTCATAATGAGACTGTCATAAAATACTGGAACGCTGAGCACACAGTCCTTCTGTATTCTGGAAATAGTTTCCAGTGATTGAATCAGATATACGGACAATCAGATATGTTCATGTATGAATGTTGATCAATGCCTCTTTAGATCCTTAATGATGGGTGCGTATTATGAGTACTGTGGGTTGCAAATTTCATGTGTGCAACCTCTAAAGAAGATTTATGCATGGCCAGCTTGTGTAAGTTTGCCTCTGAGAATCTGACTTTTCTTTCTAAAGAATTCTCAGAGCTGCTACAGTTGCCAGGATATAGTTGAAAGCATGTGGCTGGTGCAAGGATAGCACAGGTGAGGCTTAAGAATTCTGCAAAAACAACACAACTGGAATTGATAAGATAAGTTGGTCTTTTAAGGTGCTACAAGATTCCATTATTTTTTGATGCAACAGACTACTTAGCACAATCTCTCTGGAAATTATAGTTCAGATTGCCTATTCTACTCTTTTTTTTCCCCTTTGGTAAGATAGACACGAATCCTCAGGGATACTTACAGTAATTGTACAATCCTGTATAATTTACTCAAAAGAAAGTCCCACTCAGTTCAGTGACGCTTACTTTGGGGTGTATGAATATAAGTGCAGTTGCTGGCCCTTAGCAAAGATCATTTAGTTGGAAGATTTCCTTGATGCGCTAATCTTCTCTGCTTTTTGTTTGTTACTTGCATCAAAAAAAAAAAAAAAAGGAACACCCTCTTTTGCTGTTACAACAATGAGCTTTTAATACACAGAGAACAGAATGTAATCCAGACCATGTAACATTCAGGTTGGTATTACTGGGGTGGCAGGGAAAGTGTGTCCTTTCCTTCAACCAAACTGCATCCAGTTGAACAGGCTCTAGGTGAAGGGATTCATGCTGGGGATTTAGAAACATTTCCGGTAGATGTAAAAAGGACCACGTTCTTCATATTCTCTCCTATGAACCCAAAGCTGCTGGAAAGCCTTGAGAGATGCCAGGATGGAGCCTCCAGTCCAGACAGATGTTTTCCTTTCCGGAGAAGCTGATGAAATGGGATTATCATTTGGGCACATTCTAATCAGCTCTCTCTGGAAGCGGTCAGCAAAGCCTTTGAGCGTGGTGCAGCCCCCACATAACAAGATGTTGCCCATCAGGTTCTTTTTTAGGGTGACATCACACTTGTTGAGGGAAGTCATGGTCAGGAGAGGAAGTCCCAACTGCTGTGAGTTTATCAAGGATGGCTTAAAGAGCATTTCAGAACACAAGAATCTCTCTTTGCCAATAATGATAGTTTGCCCATCAGGAAGCTCATATTCAATCTCATACTTCCTGGGAGGTGCAGCTGCATCATGTTGATAATCCAGTGAAGTGAAACAATAGTTCTCTTTGATATCTTCTAAGATATTCCAGTCTTTCTCTGTGAATAATTTCACACTCTCATTTAATAACTTCATTAGGTATTGAGTGACATCCGATCCAGCATAGTCCACTCTTTCAGTAATGCTTGGCATGGTATATCCTTCGTAAATGGGAACTACATAGGAGACACCATGACCACTCTCTACAACAAGACCTGAGGTCTTTCCATAAGAATACATTGACAATCTTGACTGGTAAGCAATATGCATGGCAGGGGTGCAAAATGTTTCAAAGAGCATTTCTGCATATTTTTCTCTGTTGGTAGTAGGGCTTAGAGGAGGGTCTGATACTAAGACAGCATGTTCTTCAGGTCGAATCCTCATCTCCCTAAGGAAAATATATTCCCAGATATCTTGAACAGAATCCCAGTCCACTATTATTCCATGTCTTAAAGGATTGACAAGCTTTAAGGGTATTGTTGCATCCTGAAGTTCTCTTCCAACAAAAGTTTCCTTCCTGTTATCTCCAGTTTTTGCTGTCTCCTGGATATGCTTGCCCACAGTAGATGAAATCACATGCGTTGGCTTTTGTTCTCCAGCAAATCCACATTTGCAGGAGCCGGTACCAATATCTATGACAACAGCTCTTGTCTCCTTTACTATCCTCCTTGGAGTTGACTCTCCCTCTTCTCTAAATTTGGTGCTATGCTTAACTATTGGTCCTTTCTTTGATGGCAGAGAGCCAGAACTTGCACTTCCTCTGCTTGACATTTTATTTCCTGATGCTCATATATGCCTACTCTCCATGTACTGACCACCATTTCAAATGGCAGGAATGGACATGATTTAGAGTCCTGATGACACCAACAGTAAGCATTGTGACATCATAATGGGAATTCTTAGAGCAGTACTTCCAACACAGCTGGGAGCATCAATTTGGAGATGACTGTCCTAAAAGGGTAAGCTGCCTAAATTCAATTTTACCTACACTTAAGATCCAGAAAAGAAGGCTTTTTAGGTTATGTTTGTACAGTATACTGAACCATACAAATTAAGTTCACACATTTTAGGCTAAAACATGGCTTGCAAGTTTGTGGTCCAGCAATCATACAAGTCCAGCTTAAAGAACCACAGATATGACCTTGGAGAAGGAATGCAGCAGTTAGCCAAACATGATTTAAACAGAGGAAAGAAGACAACTCTAGAAAGAAATTTAAACTGGCTCTCTTCAGCACGAGGAAGGGAAAAGGCTTTCAAGATTGTTACTATAGCCTAAATTAAAGATCCAGTATATCTTGTGGAGTCTGTTTCCTGCCTTGGCCTATCTTGAAGGGCTGACACCAATCTTGAAAACTCCTTTTATTAGGAGAGGCAGAGAATCTTGCCTTTGATCGAAGATATAGCATCTGATCCTCAGGGCACCCGTCTGCTAAACATCTTGCTGCAGCATTATTGCAACACCCACAAGTGCAAACATGAAAATGCTGTGGTGCAACTAGCACAGCATTTGGGACAAGGCTCGCCTCAACCAACAATGGCACAGCAGCTGGCAGCCCAACCAATACTTCTGCACTTGCGTGGGAGTTTGCCAGAACAGTTTGGAAAAGCTCAGGATCAATTCCAACTTTCACAACTCCACACTGAGATGGTTTATGGCAGGTTGGATGACAGAACTTCCTACAGATCTCATCAAGATGATATTTGTTCTAGGTTTGGTGAAAGAAGAGACAGCCAAATGGGCTGTGCCCATTATTGAAAGCAATGGCCAACATAATTTCTGCATACACATCAAATTTTCAATTATTTACCAGAGATGTGGGATAGAATGTTTTGGCTCTGATTAACCAATTTTGAGGACTTGCTGACAAGCTAAGAGATGAATTGGTGAAACAAGGCACCCCAGAGAATTTGGAAGAGCTGTCTCGGCCATTTGGAAGAGTTGAGGCACAAAAATGGCAAGGCAAGGCACCCCAGAGAATTTGGAAGAGCTGTCTCGGCCATTTGGAAGAGTTGAGGCACAAAAATGGCAAGGCAAGGCACCCCAGAGAATTTGGAAGAGCTGTCTCGGCCATTTGGAAGAGTTGAGGCACAAAAATGGCAAGGGGAGGGTTTTATAACCTCTCTTCACCCTAGCTCACCTGCCTATGGAGCCCCACA